CTAGGATAACCATGTGCACCTCAGACTTTTCAGGTGGTAGGCCAGAGGGTTGCGGGCATCATTCTGCAGTGGGCTTTCCTTCCGATGTCGGATTTTGTGAGCCCTCGGCCAACGCCACTCAGGCAGCACCATGGCCATCGCCGCCTTCACAGCCCCTCCCTCCATCACAGCCCCCACGGGCGCCGTGGCTCCCACCGAATCCGAGCTCACCGTGGCCACAGCCTTCACGGCTCCCATCGCCATGGGCGCCATGGAAGCCATGGCCGGCGCCATTCCCCGAACCGCCACATGCACCGGCCTCACAGCCGGCGGCGCGCGCTGTCGGAGCTTCTGGGCTGCAAAGCTTTGCTTTCGCTTCCAGGGTCCGTCAGGGTCCAGAGTGCGCAATACCGATACGCTGACTCTGTATTTCGTCAGAAGCACCCCACATATATGTAGTTCAGTAGTGTGTTCTCCTTCATGAGGACGGTGTCGGGCTCTTCTTGGGGGGTTGTGGACGAATTGCCGATCTGGCTTTCAACGTCGCCCTTCGATCGTGTCTAACCTTTTTCCATGGCATTTACAGAGAAACAGCCCGACCATGTTCCTGCCAGCCGCCGAGCATCATGAGCATCAGCTGCTGACCGTCTCACCATGTGGCCAGCTGCAAGCGGGCCGCGCAGTGGGATGGGCAGCGGCCGGCGGGGACAGAGCGGCTGATGCTCATGATGCTGGGGTGCGGCTGGCCATACGGTGGGACGGGTAGTGGCTGATGCTCATGATGCTCGGCGACCGCTGGCCACATGGTGGGACGATGCTCATGATGCTCAGTGGCAGCAGACCCACACAGTGGCTGATGCTCGTGATGCTTGGCGGCTGGCCAATCGGTGGGACGGGTAGCGGCTGATGCTCATGATGCTCGGCGGCGGCCGACCACATGGTGAGGCGGGTAGCGGCTGATGCTCATGATGCTTGGCGGCCGCTGGCCACGTGGGACGGGTAGCCGCTGATGCTCATGATGCTCGGCTGCGGCCGGCCGCACGGTGAGACGGGTAGCGGCTCACACGGTGGGACGGGTAGCGGCTGATGCTCATGATGCTGGGGTGCGGCTGGCCATACGGTGGGACGGGTAGTGGCTGATGCTCATGATGCTCGGCGACCGCTGGCCACATGGTGGGACGATGCTCATGATGCTCAGTGGCAGCAGACCCACACAGTGGCTGATGCTCGTGATGCTTGGCGGCTGGCCAATCGGTGGGACGGGTAGCGGCTGATGCTCATGATGCTCGGCGGCGGCCGGCCACATGGTGAGGCGGGTAGCGGCTGATGCTCACGATTCTTGGCGGCCGCTGGCCACACGGTGGGACGGGTAGCCGCTGATGCTCATGATGCTCGGCTGCGGCCGGCCACACGGTGAGACAGGTAGCGGCTGATGCTCATGATGCTTGGCGGCCGCTGGCCACACGGTGGGACGGGTAGCGGCTGATGCTCATGATACTCGGCGGCCGGCCACACGGTGGCTGATGCTCATGATGCTTGGCGGCCGCTGGCCACGTGGGACGGGTAGCCGCTGATGCTCATGATGCTGTGCGGCCGGCCACACAGTGGGGCGGGAAGCGGCTGATGCTCATGATGCTTGGCGGCCGCTGGCCACACGTTGGGACGGGTAGCCGCTGATGCTCATGATGCTCGGTGGCCGCCGGCCACACGGTGAGACGGGTAGCGGCTGGTGCTCATGATGCTTGGGGGCCGCTGGCCACATGGGACGGGTAGCCGCTGCGGCCACACAGTGGCACGGGTAGCGGCTGATGCTCATGATGCTTGGCGGCCGCTGGCCACACAGTGGGACGGGTAGCCGCTGATGCTCATGATGCTCGGCGGCGGCCGGCCACACGGTGAGACGGGTAGCGGCTGATGCTCATGATGCTTGGCGGCCGCTGGCCACACGGTGGGACGGGTAGCCGCTGATGCTCATGATGCTCGGCGGTGGCTGGCCACACGGTCAGACGGGTAGCGGCTGATGCTCATGATGCTTGGCAGTAGCCGCTGATGCTCATGATGCTCGGCGGCGACCGGCCACACGGTGAGACGGGTAGCGGCTGATGCTCATGATGCTTGTCGGCCGCTGGCCACACGGTGGGACGGGTAGCCGCTGATGCTCATGATGCTCGGCGGCGGCCGGCCACACGGTGAGACGGGCAGCGGCTGATGCTCATGATGCTTGGCGGAATGATGCTGGGCGGCGGCCGGCCACACAGTAAGACGGGTAGCGGCTGATGCTCATGATGCTTGGCGGCCGCTGGGGTAGCGGCTGATGCTCATGATGCTTGGCGGCCGCTGGCCACGTGGGACGGGTAGCCGCTGATGCTCATGATGCTCGGCGGCGGCCGGCCACACGGTGAGACCGGCAGCGGCTGATGCTCATGAGGGTAGGACACAGCGGCTGAGGCCTGATGTTCATGATGCTCAGTGGCATCCGGCCACACCGGGACAGGCAGGGGCTGATGTTCATCTGATGCTGGGGGGCGGACGGCGAGGTGGGAAGGGCATGCTATGCTCAGCGGCGGACGGGCAGCAGCTGATTCGCAATGCAGGTACGTTAGTCGCATGGACTGGGGCCGGAACGAGCGTATACGGTGGTTAGTATCCTCGCGAGGTCGGTTTGCGAAGACAGTGACTCTGAATTGAGAGATATTGAGTGATCTTGTGTTGACGAACGAAACCACCCAACAGCATTTTGCAAGATTAGTTTGATGCTCACGTTGAACTACTCGAAAAGGCTCACATGTCCGTCCACTGCAGAGCATCACTCAGCCACTGCCAAACCAAACCCCGCCGAGCATCATCAGCATCAGCTGCCCTTTCCAGTGTGTGGCCGGCTGCCACTGAGCATCGTGAGCATCGGCCGCTACCCGTCCCGCCGCGTGATCGCCGCCACTGAGCATCATGAGCAGCCCCGTTTAGTAAATTATGTGGCTGGCCACTGCCGAGTATTCAACCCCAAGAACCCTGCAGGCCCCCCAAACGAATCACCCGAAACACTGCGCCGCTGCTTTGCTGAGGGGCCGTGCGCACCAGCGGCACCCCTCGCCCAGACGCCGCTGGAGGTGCCCCTAAACCCTTAACCCTAAACCCTAAGCCCTTAACCCTAAACCCTAAACCCTAAGCCCTTAACCCTAAACCCTAAACTCTAAACCCTAAACCCTAAACCCTAAACCCGAAACCCGAAACCCTAGGACGCTGCTTATGGATTCTGGGGTTCGGGTTCAGGGCCTCGGGCGTTTAGGGAAGCCTACACCCGGAACCCTGAACCCTGGACCTTTGAAGCCACAAGCCCTGAATCCTAAACCCTTCAAAGCCCGGAACCCTAAACCCTGAACCCTAAACCCCAAACCCTGGACCCTAAATCCTCAACAACCCGAAACCCTAAACCCTTGAAAACCCTGAACCCTCCACTCGGAAGCTGCCGGACGGAGAACCCAACGCCGAGTCCCCAAGCTCCATGTAGAGTTTAGGGTTTAGGGTTTAGGGTTAGGGTTTAGGGTTTATTGAAATTATTAAGGGTTCCGGTCCGGGGAAAGTTTCGAGGAAAGTTTCTTTTTTTAATTGTTCTTAATAATTTCAAGTTACAGGGGGCTTGAGGGTTTAGTGTTTATGGTTTGGGGTTAAGGGCTTCGGGCTTGGTTAGGGTTAAGGGTCAGGGTTCAGGGTTTAGGGTTCGGGGTCAGGGCGATGGGTGTGTGGGGTTTGGTGGAGCACTTGGGTGATCTGGCTCTGGGAGCTTAAATTCAAGGATTCAAGCACCTTTTGGCAACCCAAAACCCAAAACCCTAAACCCTAAACCCTAAACCCTAAGCCCTAAACCCTAAACCCTAAACCCTAAACCCTAAACCCTAAGCCCTAAACCCTAAACCCTAAACCCCAAACCCCAAACCAGCAGCAGCCCAGCGAAGGCCCCAGCCCCTCGAAGCGGGCTTCGTGGCGTCACGAGGGCGCCGGGGCGCTGAGGCGCTGCCGAGCTGGGGATTGGGGAGGTTCGGGGGTTTAGGTGGCATCTGGACTTTAGGGAGCTGGGGTGAAGAGTTTAGGGTTTAGGGTCTAGGGTTATTTAGGGTTTTGGATTTGGGGTTTAGGGTTTAGGGTCTGGGTATGTAAGGTTTTGGGGTTGTCAGGGGTGTCGGGTTTTGGGTATCTGGGCCTCCTGCGATGCTTTGGAGTTGTGCTTAGGGCTTAGGGCGGGGTTTGCGGCTTGCTGGTTCTCTTGGACTTAGGCACCTCGAGGTCCTGCCAAGGGAGATTCATGAGGGTTTAGGGGTTTAGGGTTTGGGGCTTGGGGTGAAGGGTTTATGGGTGCAATCAAGTTTATGGGGGTTTAGGGTTCAGGGCTCGGGGCTTGGGGTGTAGGGTTTGTGGGTTTAAGTAGTTTGTTACAGGTTCCCTTATTTGATTTCTGGCAATCAAATTGTGGAAGCATGTTTCGGAGGGTCTGAGCAAGCCTAGCCAATTTCCTCACCCCTACGAGCGGAGCACTTGACTGTATTGTGACCTTGTTGTGCTGGATTCAGGGTTAGGGGATCCCGAGCGCAGCCGTTTCTGTTGTGAAGTGGAAGGGTTCGTGAGGACGAGCGTGCGGGATTCTTGCTTTGGCTTCTGGGTTGCTGTTAAGGAGTTTAACTTTTTTTACGTGTGTGTATGTAGGTAGGTAGGTAGGCAGGTATGTGTATATAGCATATCTATTCGTTCATCGTGTATGTATATGTTAAAAAGCTCCGATTTTTTGGTAACCCCAAGCCCCCAAAGTTGAGGGTTCAGGGTTTAGGTTTTAGGGGGATTGAGAGTTTTAGGGTTAACGTGCATTCCCAATTTAGACTCGTGCAGGATCCTTCTGTTGACGGTCCGCGTCGGTGAGCTTCTAGTCGAAGTCTGTGAAGGAACTCAACTAGGTACGTAGGGTTCAGGGTCTTAGGGTTAAGTTAAGTCGCCATAGCCGGAATGGAGGTCGATCAAGATGGTTTTCGCAGATGCAGGTGCAAGAGAATCTCCGCCCCAAGCATGGCGATGCATCCACGAGCTTCGAGGCTCTCGTCTTTCTTGTGACAGCAAAGGAAAGCTGAACTCGTCATTCCCTACTCAGAACCAGGAGGACAAAGTTGCAGGGTTTAGGGTGAAGGGTTTGTACCAAGGCTGTAGGGTTTGGTGTTTAAGGTTTTAGGGTCTGGGGTTCTTGGGATTGGCTCCCTTGTTGAACAGCCTAGAGCTTCGTGCCCCTAAGCCCTACGCCCTTTACCGTTCACCCTATTCCCTACACCCTATTCCCTATGCACCAAACTCTAGAAGAACCCAAGACGCTGGCCTTCCTCAAAGGGTCCATGTACCCGCATGGTATGTGCTTGGGCCTTACAAGGGGCTGCTATTTAGGGTTTAGGGTTTAGGGTTTAGGGTTTATGCCTGCATCCTTGCGGACAGTTCCGAAGCAACCACTTGGGAACCGACTACGTAACAGAAACGGGTTTAGGGTTTAGGGTTTAGGAATCGGTACACCCTTAGGCCTCCGAAGGCCCTCAGAAGCGTCAGGGCCCATACACTTCTACCCCCCCTACCCCCCCCCCCCCGCAACCCTAAACCCTAAACCCAAAACCCAAAACCCAAAAAAACCCTAAACCCTGAACCCTGAACCCTAAACCCTAAACCCTAACCCTAAACCCTAAACCCTAAACCCTAAACCCTAAACCCTAAACCCTAAACCCTAAACCCTAAACTACTTCCCCACCAACGTCAACCTCATCCACGGGATCGGCGTGAAGGAGGGAAGTGGCACTTGTGTCTGGGGGGCAAGCAACCGGTCTTGAGTCGTTTGACGTGGGCCGACGCAGCTTGCACCCCAAGGTGTTAGGATGTGATTCCTATAGTTTTCTTTTAAAACCCAAGCGGCTGTTTTACATAAGCTCTAGGGCATATTCAACATACTGTTTTTCATGATGGCTCGAAGCAGCCTAAGGGGCGTGTAGGGTTCCTAAACCATAAACCCGAAACTCTGAACCCAAAACCCAAAACCCAAAACCCAAAACCCAAAACCCAAAACCCAAAACCCAAAACCCCAAACCCCAAACCCCAAACCCTAAACCCTAAACCCTAAACCCTAAACCCTCAACCCTAAACCCTCAACCCTAAACCCTAAACCCTAAACCCTAAACCCTAAAGCCCGCAGGCCGGGCCGAAAGCCGACCCCAAAGTGGCCGCGCAGCTCCAGAAAAAGGCGGAGTTGGAGCTGAAGATCAAGGCCCCCCCGCCTTTCGTAGGGTTCAGGTAGGGTTTAGGGTTTAGGGTTTAGGGTTTAGGGTTTAGGGTTTAGGGTTTAGGGTTTAGGGTTTAGGGTTTAGGGTTCAGGGTTTAGGGTTTAGGGTTTAGGGTTTAGGGTATGAGGTTTGGGGTTTAGGGTTTGGGGTTTAGGGTTTTAGGAGTCTCGGGTTTGGGGTTTGGAGTTTAGGGGTTTAGGGTTTAGGATTTTAGGGTTAAGGGTTTAGGGTTTAGGAGTCTAGGAGTCTAGGCTTTAGGGTTCAGGAGTTTAGGGTTTGGGAGTTTAGGGGTTTAGGGGGTTTAAGGTTCAGGGTTTAGGGTTCGGTTGAGAGTGTAGGAGTTTGGGGGTTTATGGGTTTCCTTTTCGTGCAACCGTAACCCCCAACACCACCCACGCCCCTCTCCCCCTTCCCTAAACCCTAGACCCCTTTTGCTGAGGAGTTGGATCGCCAGATCGAGGCCCGCGCTTCTGATCCCAACCCCGCAACCTACCCTTCAAGGGTCGCTTACTACCCTTAAAGAGGGGGGTTTAGGGTTTAGGGTTTAGGGTTTAGGGTTTGGGGTTTCAGGTTTCAGGTTCAGGTTTATGATAGGGGTTTAGAGTTTAAGGTTCACGGTTTAGGGCCTTAAAGCGTGAAGCATACAGACCGCCTTTGTTTGGTGCTGGATATCGACTCTCAAAGCTTTAGAACTTCCCAAGCCAGAAACTAATGTCAAAATTGAATGATGTCGCATGGTGTATCTGAGAGCCCAATCTTTAACTAGGCACTAGCCCTTATTTCCTACTACGATTCCTGGGCATAGGCTTGAATCTAGGCGCAGTCTTGGGCTTCCTTGCTGGAGGTTTTGGGGCAAGTTTGTTCCGGGCCGGAGACCCAGATCAACCCTCAGATATGGGGTTTTAGTGTCTACATAGGGTCCGGGGTCGTCTATAGTGAGAGAGGTAGGCGTCTGAGCCCATAGGGGCCTACACCCTTCAACTTGTAGACGCCCTCACCTCAGCACGCCAGGAAGAGGGTCCAAATTTGTGCTTCCCGACCTAAAGCTTAGGGTTTGTAGGGTTCACGACTCAGGGTTTCGGGCACCTCAAGCGCTCAACCCGCAACCACTGCCCCCCCCCCCCCCATCCGTGCCCCCCTCCCCCCCCTACCCCTCTCCCCCGTTTCCCCCGCTTTTATATTCCCTTATGGACCTTACAAAATTATATAACTATGCTTTCATAACCCCCAAAACCCTATTCTAGAAATTCAGGCCCCTATATTAGGCGCTCACTCCGTAAATCTCAGGCGCTCACTCCGTAAATCTCACAACTGCCAGGAGCAGCGGTCAAAGGAGCGGGCCCTCACCGAGCAAGAGGACGAGCACCGCAAGGCGCGAGACCTGCAGTTTTGGGTTTCGGAGGGCTTTAGGGTTTAGGGTTTAGGGTTTAGGGTGTAGGGTTTAGGGTTTAGGGTTTAGGGTTTAGGGTGGTTGGGTTGTTGGGTTGTTGAGTTCGGGATCCGGATGTGGGGTTCACGGTTCAACGGGAACCACGTTTCAATGTGAACATGGATTTCCACGGGATGGAGGCTGAAGGCCCAGGGTGTAAGGTTTAGTTAGGACTTGGGCTGAAGTAAAGGTTTTCCGGTGTGTGCAACTTTTTTTGACATGCAGCAAAGAGCTTAGGGTTGAGGTTTCAGGGGCAGGGTGCCCTTGAGAAACTAAGCTGAAGTCCTCAGCAGGCTTCACAGACTCACAGCTTGGCGAATCCGCGCAAGAACTTGTACCCGATTGTGCCGTGACACCCTGCACAGGGGGTTGATACCCCGAACCCTAAATCCTGAACCATCTAAAATCTAAACCCGAAGCCTCAAACCCTAAGCCCTACCGGCCCCCTCAACCCTAATGCCTAAGCCTATGAAGCCCAAACCCTGCCTGAGGATATGGGTGAGAATGCCATCCTGACCCCACAGCAGGACGCGCTGTGCACGGGGGGTCTAGACGGCCAGGGTTTAGGGTTGAAGCCTTTCGAAACCCTAGTAAGCCCTAAACCCTGAACCCTAAACCCTAAACTCCCTAAACCCTAAACCCTAAACCCTAAACCCTAAACCTTAAACCCTGAACCCTAAAACCCTACACCTCTAAGCCCTGAAGCTGATTGAAGCCCTACGCCCATGCCCAAATCGATAGGGATGCCGACGAGGTGTTGCGTCGCGTTGAGCAAGTTTTTCAGGGCTTAGGGGTTTAGGGTTTGAGGGTTTAGGGGTTTTTGGTGGTTTGATTAAGGTTTAGGGGTTTAAGGTTTAGGGGTTCAGGACTGAAGTTTTGGAAGGCTTCGGATGTTTTGGTTCTCAACTTGCCAGGCTTCATTTCCGGCATGGTGAGGACCGTTGTGGCCCCAAAGTCCTCACACTCTGAACCCCCTAAACCCTAAACCCTAAACCCTAAACCCTAAACCCTAAACCCTAAACCCTAAACCCTAAACCCTAAACCCTAAACCCTAAACCCTAAACCCTTAACAGCCCTAGCGTTCAGGACCTTTTTCAGCCGTGGGGCTCGGCGCAAAGACGCCGAAATCCACATAACCAAGTCAAAGAAACGGCGTGTCCCAAATATTAAAGCCTGAGCCCTAAACCCTGAACCTCGAACCCTAAAGCCCTGAACCCTAAACCCTGAACCCTAAACCCTGAACCCTAAACCCTAAACCCTGGAACCTTGAACCCTAAAGCCCCGAACCCTAAACCCTAAACCCTGAACCCTAAAGCCCCGAACCCCAAACCCTGGAACCTTGAGCCCTAAAGCCCCGAACCCTAAAGCCCTGATCGCGTTGCGTGGGGTGGCAGCGGGCAGAGCAGAGGAGAAAGCCGCCCTCCAGAGCCGAGACATCGCCCTACAGCAGGTCCTGCTGGGAAGGGTTTAGGGTTTAGGGTTTACGGTTTCGGGTTTAGGGTTTAGGCTTTAGGCTTTAGGCTTTGTGCTTGGTGTTTTCGGGCTTGGGGGCGGTGGGGGGGGGTGGGGGGGAGCTGGAGAGTTTAAAGAGTTGAGGGTTGGTACCTCCCAGCTTCTGGGGTTCAGAAAGAATTGTTCCACATCCCTGACCCTGCCCTAGATTAAACCAAACCTTTTGCCCAAAAACCCCTCACCGTGAAGTAGGACAGCCTACAGAGGCTCCCCTGGGGTTAAGGGGACCAAGTTTGCAGCCGAACGCTCTACTAAGTCCGAACAACCACTCCCAAACCCTAAAAAACCCTAGGCTCTAGACCCTAAACCAAAAATCCCCAAACCCTAAGAATCCCTAAGCCCTAAACCTAAATTCTCCAAACCCGAAAAATCCCTCAGCCCTAAGCCCTAAACCCGAAGAATCCCTAAGCCCTAAACCCTAAATTCCCCAAACCCGAAATCCCCAAGCCCATCGAACCCTGAGGATGCTGTCGTGGACAAGACGGAGCAGCTCGTGAAGGCGGCTGTCCCTGATGTTTTTTCTTTTGTTCTTCTACGACGTCTACTTGTTACTCAAATTTTCTAGGAGTTTTCAATATTATGAAAATTAGCAGTGTTGTCAAGAATGCCATTTTTATTTGCAAGGCCTGAAACTGTGAGGTCCGGGCCGGTCAGAGACTACGCCACCCCCTACAGTTGATGAAGCCAACCCTATTCAGGTTCAGGGTTTCTCCTTTTAGGATTTAGGGGTCTGGGGCTTCAGGGTTTTACAAGCAAGGTTCAGCAAGCCCAGTGAAACCTTGAAAGCCAAAGTCCGTCGAACCCTAGAGGCCCCGAATCCCAGCCTAACTTGAACAAGGGGCTGCGACCCCAGGTGGGAGAAGGTTTCCCGTAAAGTGGGGTCCCTAAACCCCTAAACTCTAAGACTGCCACAGCTGGTTCCTGTGCCTCCAGTTACCTTCGTTTTCCGCAGCATGCCATGGGGGTGGGGCTTAGAGTTTAGAGGTCGATCAGACTTGCATCAATCAAAGATTCCAAGAAGAGTGGTTTCTCTCGAGAAGATTTGAGGGTTTACTCTTTTGAGTGCAGGGTGTAGGTTTTGAGGGTGCTTGTGGAAGTTAAAAAGTAAGAAGAAGTGTTTGGTAGGGGTCCTTCCTGGAGAGAGAGAGAGAGAGGGAGTGTGCTTTTGAGCCCTAAACCCTAAACCCTGTGAATTCGGAGGAGAGGAAGGTCGGGGAAAAGCAGAGGAGGGTTAGGAGGAGGGCTTGCGAAGGGAGTCCCTTGACTGTAAGAATATCAGGGACTAGAACACCCCGAATCCCAAAGCCCTTTACACCCAGGCCTAAACCCTAAACCCTAAACCCTAAACCCTAAACCCTAAACCCTAAACCCTAAACCCTAAACCCTAAACCCTAAACCCTAAACCCTAAACCCTAAACCCTAAAACTAAAAACCCTCAGGCCGCAACCCCAAAACCCCTCCACTTGGCCAGGAGAAGCTGGAGCTTCTCAAGGATCCTTCTCTGGCTTAGGGTTTAGGGTTTACGGATGTTGGGGTTCATCGGGTTTAGGGTTTAGGGTTTAGAGTTTAGGGTTTAGGGTTTAGGGTTTAGGGTTGAGCGTTGAGGGATGTTCACGGCTTTTCTGGCCAAAAGTAGGGTTCAGGGCCTAGGGGTTAGGGCTTAGGGTTGATGGCTGAAAGACCATGGCACATGGGGTTTAGGGTTTAGGGTTTAGGGTTGAGGGTGTAGGAATTGTTCAGGGTTCTTCAGGCCGAACATAGGGTTTAGAGTTTAGGGTTCAAGGTTTGAGCGGGGCGCGTCTTGGTTCTGTTAACCGGCAAAGAATAGATGATCGTTTGAAATAGCACTAGGAGACCCCGAAAAGGGGCGTCATCTAGATCAACCGCCCCGCGAAAGTGTAGGGTTCGCGGGTGAACCTAAACCCTAAACCCTAAACCCTAAACCCTAAACCCTAAACCCTAAACCCACAAAGCGTTGGGGATGCAAGGTCAAGGGTTCAGGATCCGTGGTTTCGGTGTTGAGGGTCTCGGGCCCCCCAAACCCTAAGCCCTAAAAAGCCCTCAAAGCCCTCAAAGCTCTAAAAGCCCTAAAAGCCCTAAAAGCCCTAAAAGCCCTAAAAGCCCTAAAAGCCCTAAAAGCCCTAAGCCGTAGGCCCTAAGCCCAAAAAAGCCCAAAGCCCTAAGCCCAAAAAAACCCTTTGCCGGAAGCCCTAAGACCGAAGCCCTAAGACCGAAGCCCAGACACTCTGAAGGTCTGAAGGGGTTTTAAGCCCTCTTGGGTTTGTGGTTTGGGTCTTGTTGCGGGTGTCGGCTTGTCAGCCCTAACCCTAAACCCTAAACCCTAAACCCTAAACCCTAAACCCTAAACCCTAAACCCTAAACCCTAAACCCTAAACCCTAAACCCTAAACCCTAAACCCTAAACCCTAAACCCTAAATCGTAAACCAAACTCTAGACCCTAAACCAGGAGCTTGACAAGATCCAGGTGGAGGAGAGCACAGGTGCGTGTAAACCCTGAACCCTCTAAACCCTAAACCACAAACCCTGAAGCCCTAGAACCCTCAGCCCTGAACCCCGAAGCCCTTATGCTATTATAATAGTAAATTTCTACATATATACATATATACATATATACATATACACATATATACATATATACATATATACATATATACATATATACATATATACATATATACATATATACATATATACATATATACATATATACATATATACATATATACATATATACATATATACATATGAACATATATACATATATACATATATACATATAGACATATAGGCATATAGACATATGTACATATATACATATGTACATATGTACATATGTACATATATACATGTATACATATTTACATATATACATATATACATATATACATATATACATATATACATATATACATATATACATATATACATATATACATATATACATATATACATATATACATATATACATATATACATATATACATATATACATATATACATATATACACAGAAATGTATATATATATATATATACACATTTATGCGACGGTTTTTCGGCCTTGAGAGTTGATTTTCCCAGGAGCCTTGAGCCAAGGAACACGTCGCCGTAAACCCGCTAACGCTAAACCCTTTTCCATGTTGCCATGGGCGGTGCCGAACAGATCTGTTTGGGATGTAGGTTTGGGCTCACCCCTACTGCTACTGTACCTGGAACCCTGAACCCCCAACCCCCAGCCCAAAACTATTGCGGACACCCCAGGTCTTCACTCCTTTTTAAACCCTAAACCCTATGAGTACTCCTCCGTCCCTTTTGGACTTTTGGGCACCCTAAATACAATGGCCCATATTACAATAGGTACTGTGCCCAAAAAGGACCAGATCTTCCCCCCGAAAACCCTGAGCCCTAAACCCTACGCCTGGAACCCTAAACCTTGAACCATGAACCTTGAATCCTAAAATCTCAACACGACCCTAAACCCTAAACCCTAAACCCTAAACCCTAAACCCTAAACCCTAAACCCTAAACCCTAAACCCTAAACCCTAAACCCTAAACCCTAAACCCTAAACCCTAAACCCTAAACCCTAAACCCTAAACCCTAAACCCTAAACCCTAAACCCTAAACCCTAAACCCTAAACTAAGTGAGGGGTCGCTTCCGTCGAGCGACAGACCCCGAACGCTCGGCCGAGGGCCTTACAGCCCGAGCGCCCAAGCGAGAAGAGAAACGTTGTTGACGGGTTTTCGGGCCCCACTCCCGGGCCAAGGGCCCCCCGGGCCAAGGGCCCCCCCCCCCGGGCCAAGGGCCCCCGGGCCAAGGGCCCCAGGGCCCCCGGACCAAGCGCTTTCGGGCCCCCTTCATCAAGGGCCCCCGATTCAAGGGCCTGTGGGCCCAAACAAGGACCAACCTGCCCCGGGCCAAGGGCCCTTTGGAGGCCCTCTTTGGACCAAGGGCCGCCCCTGGACCAAGGGCCCCCGCGGGCCCTCTCGGCTCGATTCAAGAACCTCCCCCCACCCCGGCCAACAGCCTTTGCGGCCTTCTGACCAAGGGCCCCTGGGCCAAGCACCGGCCTTGCGGGCCAAGGGCCCTGCCGGGCCAAGGCCGGGCCCGGGCCAAGGGCCTTGCCAGGGCCCAAGAACCTTGCCGGGCTTGCTGGCGGCAAGGCCTTGGCCCGGCAAGGCCCTTAGCCGGCAAGGCCCTTGGCTCGGCAAGGCCCTTGTCACCCGGCAAGGCCCTTGGCCCGGCAAGGCTCTTGGCCTGGGGCCCTTGGCCCGGCAAGGTCTCGGACCGACCCAAGACTCGGCAGATGCCCAAACACCCCTGCCAAGGGCCCCCCCGAACCAGGGCTCGGCTAAGCCCCCAAGAGGCGCCAAGAGCCACCAAAAGGCTTCAAAAGCTTCAAAAGGCCCACTAAAAGAAGGGGGACCACAAGATTTGTCCGTGCCCACAATGAAAAATGCGATTTTTGAATATTAAAAACATTGTTTTTAGGCACCGCTGCCCGTAATGAAAAATGTTCTTTTTTAGTCTTGAAATCGATGGCTCCCCCTAAATCAGCAAGGACCTCTACGGGCCCACGTGCCGAAGGCCCGAAAAGGACCGAGGCTACCCCGAACCCCAGCCTAAACCCTGACACCGCAAAACCCTACGACGGCCTTCAAGCAAATAAGGGCCTCTACGGGCCCTAACGTGCCGAAGGCCCGAAAAGGGCCGAGGCTACCCCGAACCCCAGCTTAAACCCTAACACCGCAAAACCCTACGAAGGCCTTCAAGCAAATAAGGGCCCCTACGGGCCCTAACTTGCCGAAGGCCCGAAAAGGGCCGAGGCTACCCCGAACCCGAGCTTAAACCCTAGCGATTGAAAGACTCATTGGCGAAAAATTCATTAATCGGTTCCCTGACCTTTAAATGAATAAAGCCTCTACGGCCCCTGACACGCCGAAGGTCCGAACAAGGCCCCGAGAGACCCCAAGAGCCACCAAAATACTTCAAAAGGCTTCAAAACGCCCCCTAAAAGAAGGGGGACCCCAGGATGCCCGTACCCGCAATGAAAAATGCGATTTTTTGGTAGTGAAATCGATGCTTAATTGAGGCCCTTAAAGAAGGGGAATCCAGGAGCAGACACAAAGGGTTTCCCTGACCTTCAAATAAATAAGGGCCTCTACGGGCCCTGACACGCCGAAGGCCCGAAAAGGGCCGAGGCTACCCCCAACCCTAGCTTAAACCCTAACAGCGCAACTTTAAAAACATCAAAGCAAGCATCAGAGCACAAGAAAGTATATTCCATAAACCCTAAACCCTAATAGAGTGTAGTTTGGGTGGCCGGGGTGGGTTGACGGGCAACGCGAGCGCGCGGCCCGGGGTGTTTCACACCCGAGCGCGCGCCCTCCCCTGACACACCCTAAACCCTAAACCCTAAACCCTAAACCCTCAACCCTCAACCCTCAACCCTCAACCCTCAACCCTCAACCCTCAACCCTAAACCCTAAACCCTAAACCCTAAACCCTAAACCCTAAACCCTAAACCCCAAACCCTAAACCCTAAACCCTAAACCCTAACCCTAAACCCTAAACCCTAAACCCCAAACCCTAAACCCTAAACCCTAAACCCTAAAGCTCTGTCCAGGGAAGCCGGAAGAGCCGATCACCCCCGGCGAGACGGTGACGCGCGAGATCGTGGGCCCCGCGGGGGAGAAGGAGATCGAGGTGGTCAAAGAGGAGGACGGTGACGTTTAGGGTTTAGGGTTTAGGGTTTCGGGTTTAGGGTTCAGGGTTCAGGGTTTAGGGTTTAGGGTTTAGGGCTTTCGGGTTTAGGGATTAGGGTTTAGGGTTTAGGGCTTTCGGGTTTGTAGGGT